ACACACACACACACATATATATACACACACACACAGTGGACGTGAGCTCTGAGATGAAAAGGTTGAACATCGCTGGCCAGGTCCGGAGGAGCAGCGCGCCCCCCCACCCCCCTCATTGCCCCGACGGCAGAGGGGGACAGGGCTCTCCGTCCACAGACCCAAAGATATTTACTCCCTGGCCATTTCAAGGAGAGGTTTTACATCCCCTGTCCAATTTCTTTATATAGACACACTTTTTATTGATTTCAGAGAGGAAGGGGGAGAGGGAGAGAGAGAGAAGCATCAATGATGAGAGAGAATCACCGATTGGCTGCCTCCTGCAGGCCCCCTACTGGGCATGGAGCCCACAAGCAGGGTATCCAACCGTGACCTGGTTCAGAGGTCGACGCTCAACCCCTGAGCCGTGCCAGGCGCTGCCCCTGCCCTAAGCCAGGAGCCCTGCCAGGCGCTGCCCCTGCCCTAAGCCAGGAGCCGTGCCAGGTGCTGCCCCTGCCCTAAGCCGCGCTGCCAGATGCCACCCAGGTGCCAGGGCTCCTGGACTCTGGTCTGCACTCCTAGGGGCGGAGGGTGGGGCTCAGCCAAGGGAAGCGGCTTGGGCTCTGCCATCCGTGTCCGGAGTCCTGGGGGCCCTCAGCCCCCGGGCGAGCCTGTTGGCATCGGGATGAAGGCGGTGCCACGCGGCTGAGAGCTGGGCTCCGCGCTGTCACCAGCTGGGACACGGTGTCCGAAAGTGTTCTTATCGGAGTGGAAGTACTTCAGATAACGGAGAGCAAACAAGCCCCGAGGAAACAGCGGGAGGGAGGCGGGAGGGGCCGGAGGACCTGGTGGCAGCGAAGGTGCCCGGCCTCCCCCTCCCGCCCCTGAGACGGTTGATCCGTCTGCAATTGCCTGAGGGAAGTTTCCCAGTTTTCTTTCTGTCTTTTTAATATATTTTATGATCTCCTAGAGCCGTGGTTCTCAACCTTCCTAACGCCGCAACCCTTTCATACAGCTCCTCATGCTGTGGTGACCCCCATGTCATTGTGACAAATTGAACATAATGAAAGCACAGTGATTCATCACAAAAACAATATGTAATTATAGATGTGTTTTCCGATGGTCTTAGGCGACCCCTGTGAAAGGGTCGTTCGACCCCCAAAGGGGTCGCGACCCACAGGTTGAGAACCGCTGCAATAAAGCATCTGAGATGCTAGGACATCCTAGATAACAGGATTTTTAAAACTAGGTGAACCTAATATTGACTTGAAAATGCCCCCAAGCTCCAGTCCTGGTGTTCCACCAGTACCACAAACTCAACAGATCCAAATTCTAATTCATGACCCCCTTTCCTAAAACTCCTCCTCTTCCAGCTTCCTTATTTTAGCCACTGGCATCACCAGCTTCCTTTCCACATGGTTCCGAAACTGGGTGTGATCTTTGCATCCTTCCACTCTCTCATTTCCCGCTGACAAAATCCTGTCAACTGAGACCATCCTGCTGGCCCTCCTCCCCAATCCGCCTTCCTAGGGTTGCTCCAGCTCAGGCCGCCTTCTCTTTGCCAAGTCCAAGGTACCCCATCTACTGTCACCAGACAGAGGAATCCAGGGCAGAGTTGCACTCATTTTCCATAGCAGAGACCACTAGCTCCCTCCCAATACCCATTTGCCCTTCTCTCTTAGTAACAGAACCCTGCCTTTTAGCAAGTCCCAGAAAAAAAGTGCACACTGCCCAGCCTCCCCTGACACTAGGTGTGGCAGTGGGACTTTGTTCTGGCCAATGAAAAGTGGGAAAACGGGTTGTCTAGGGCTGCTGGGAAGGCTGATGAAAGTGGGCAGACTCAGCCGGGTTGCCCACCCCTTTTTGCATTTCCCGCATTCACTCTTCCTCCTCCGGCCTGCAATGCACGCATGATGGGTGGAGTCCGGCAGCCAGCCTGGACCATGAGGCAACTGTGGAGGTAAAAGCCTGCTTGACTAGAACAGAAAAGCAGAAAACCAGGAAGGGCCTGGACCTTGACAATGCATGGAGCTCACACGCCTGCCTTGAATTGCCCATCTCCAGAGACTTTTATAAGGAAGTAACCAGCGGTTGAGCATCGACCTGCAAACCGGAGGTCATGGTTCGATTCCTGGTCAGGGCACAGGCCCGGGCTGCGGGCTCCATCCCCAGTGGGGGGCGTGCAGGAGGCAGCTGATCAGTGATTCTCTCTCATCGTTGATACTTCTATCTCTCTCCCTCTCCCTTCCTTTCTGAAACCAATAAAAATATATTTTAAAAAATAAAATAAAAATAAAACTAACCACGATTCCGGTCCCGTGTTCCAGGAACCTGGGTTTCTGCTCGTTGCTTCGGGCCGGGGTGGGAGGGCTGGTGCCCAGCTGCGCTCCCTCCTCACCTGTCCTCCTCCGCAGGCCACGGCATCCCCTTCGGGGTCGTCTTCGGCGGCACCGACCTGAATGAAGACGTGCACCAGGGAGACAAGCACCTGGTGATGGGGAAGGTCCTGGGGGAAGCCAGGTGCGTGCGCCCCGTGGGGTGGAGACGGGGAAGCCGATAGGCCGGGGAGGAGGGGGGGCGGTACGTCTTCCCTATGAAGCCGCCTCTTTCCTTCATTTGACACTTTTTTTACAAAATATATTTTTATTGCTTTCAGAGAGGAAGGGAGAGGGAGAGAGAGAAACATCCATGATGAGAGAGAACTATGGATCGGCTGCCTCCTGCACGCCCCCTACTGGTGGGGATGGAGCCTGCAACCCGGGCCTGTGTCCTGACCGGGAATCGAACCCGTGACCTCCTGGTTCCTAGGTGGACGCTCAGCCTCTGAGGTTTTTGTCTCGAAAGCATGATTCTGTAGTGAGTGTGAGGTCATGACACTGCATTCACACGGGAGTGTTTAAAGGCGTGGGAACCGTCCTGCGAGGGCTCCTGGCAGGAAAACGTGATCTTGCCAAGCAAACGAGCGGAGGGCAGTCCGGGCCGGAAACAGC